TAATGCATGTATTTTCCTGTGAGTGCATACATGTACTTTGATTTAAATATCAGCTATGCCTAACTTTCTGCAACTCAGCCTGCAGGAGCAACAAGGAGTGTCATGACTAATGTTATGGGCCTCCAAGTTGAGAGGGAATGTTTTACTTGCAGTGGTACAAGAAGTCCTAGACATCAAGAATTTTCTGGAAGGACCTTAAGGCTAAGCAAAATAAATCAGACATGGAAAGTTAAATATCACACGGTTTTTCGTATATGAAAAGCCTACAGTATAAATAGCTTAAAGAACAAAATGAAAGACAAACAGTGGGAAACAACAAGGTAGACCGTTTGCAGATGGGAAGAGGACCTAGGATTGGGTGGAAAGGGAAAAGAGGAGAGAGAAAGGGAAGTAAAAAGGATTAAGATGCAATAAGTATGTGTGCCTGTCTTAGTCACTTTTCTTGTTGCTGAGACAAAATATCCCACACCCAGAGTTAAAGAAGGAGAAGTTTATTTAGCTCAATTTATAGAGGTTTCAGTCCATAACTGACTGGTTTCAAGGCTGGGGGGCATGGCAGGGGGGCATTAAAGAGGACAAACAGTTCACAGTAGGTGGAAGAAAGCAAAACAGCAAAGTAAGAAGCAACAAGCGACCACTGTAGCCCCGTCTCTTAGGGAGGGTAGCACTCACACCCGGTGTGGGCCTTACCATTCCCAGAACTATACCAAACCAACCAGGGCACTAATTCAGTAATCACACACCCTTGATCCCAGCATCACACTTTTAATCTCAGCATCACACATTCTAGATCCAGCCACCTCTGAAAAGTGCCACCCATGACTGCATGAGGTTTTGGGGAGACACCTAGACACAAGCCATAACAGTACCAGCTCCCCACAAAGCATGTAATCATCATGTAATGAGAACATGCATTAATTTTTTTAAAGATTTTTCTGGAAACTGCATGGTGACTCATATCTGTAATCCCAGCTACTTGAAAGGCTGAGGCTTGAAGATTGGGAGTTCAAGCTTAACCTAGATAACTTAGTGAGAGCTTATCTCAAAAAAAAAAAAAAAAAAAAAGTATTTTCGCAGTTGTGAGTGTAGCTCATGATGGAGTACTTACCTAGCATGTTCAAGGCTCTGGATTCCCTCCCAAGTGCCTCCAAAAAGAATTTTTCCATATATTCCAAGTATGTTTTTATATTTTCACAATTTAGTAACACTTTTCTAAATCCCCTTCTTACATAGTACATTTCTATCAACCAGTTGCAGGATAGGACTCTGGAACTAAAACAACCCATTTTATTAGCTATAAATTTCCTACATAATTTTTAGGCTCTACTTTCATGTAGATTACAAAGAACAGAGATTTATAAAGCATAAATCACAGATTCAAAAAGGATTGATGGGGAACAGTAACATGAAAACTCCAACAATAATTGTGTCCTCCAAAATTAGTGTAAAATTGATCAGGTAATTGATAGTGTAAAATTAGTGTAAAATTTCTGATTGAGGTTGTTAACTTTGCAATTTTCAGAGCAGCATATGCAATTTGTGGTGGCATATAGTCAGAATTTCCAAATGTGTCATAGAGTTGGTAAATAGGACCCAGAATAACTTTAAATTATGACTACTGCATTTTAGAACTTCCTTCCCTGATTTTCCCTTGTCTTTACTTTTAAATTTTTGAAAGATGCAGTACTTCTGTTCCTTCTTATAGGCTGTTTTTCATAGGAATAGAGAAAACAGCCAGTTGGCAAAGCAAAAAATTTCCAGACCACAGGGTGTCTGCCACTTACATAATCATCGAAGCCAAAATTTCCACTTTCTCCAAATTGACCAAAGAACTTCATTTCTCATTAACCTGAGCTGCAGATAAAAGTGAAAACCTCTCCTTTCTAAATGTGAGCACGCGCGTGCACACACACACACACACACACACACACACACACATCTCAGCTTTTCTTGGTTACACTTCTGGGACTTTTCCTGTTTACACTATTTGTACCTCTGTGTTTGTACCTTTTTTGGGTTTTGTTTTTAGACTCACTGATACTGTACCATGCTGTCTAAAAATACAGGCTAACAACTGGTTTTCAGTAAAGAGGATTTTTTTTTCCTGTAGAAGAAACAGTAAAAACATTCTGCATGGTTTTATAAAAATACACATTTGACAGTCTCCCATTAGTGCCCGTTATGAGTTGATAATAGGGAAGGTACAGTTAGAATATTTTTAAAGAGAACCCTGGTTGTAACTGCCATCCCTTCCCGGAAGTTATATCCCTGCTTTTTACCTCTCCTGATGCCCAGTGAGTCCCTTGTTGTGCTTAGCTCAACTGGATTGCCTGTCAGATGCAGAAAACATAGATGAAGCTATCTGCACATATTCATGTTCATTGGGTGTTGGTGACAACAAAGGTGGCCTGGGCCAAGCCACACCTGACCCTGATCAGACAGGTAGCAAGTGTGTGTTGTCTCCATTCCCCGACTTAAGGCACATGGGTGGGCACGTCTGCGGGGTGGCTCTGAGTTAGTCTGTTGATTAACACTGGGAATTTGGGATGGAATTAAACCCTGGCTGTTATCGCTAGGATTTAATTGGTAGGATGATTTTCAACTTAAATGTGACAGAGAGCCTGGCATTTTAATAATCTAGAAGAAACTTTCTCATAGGAAAAGTAATCATTTAATCAACTTAACTATTTGTGGTAAACAGAATCATACTCAACAGCTTGCAAATCGTCTGCAGTATCAATAGAACACATTGCATAAGGATAAGGGTGAAGAGGGTAACATATGTCAGGCATTTAGAGCAGACCCTAACCCCCGAGCTATGTACAGTAACTAGGGTAGTACTGGTGATACGGTTTTCATTGGTGCCTTTAAGGTAGATTTTAGGTTCAACCCAGTTTAATACAAGAGACAAAGCTACCTGAGAGGGGTTGGAGGTGTGCTTTGGGGACAGTGTGTGCTTAACATGCACAAGGCCCTGAGTTCAATTCCCAGATCAAAGGAAGTTTTAAAAGTTAAATGAGATCAATTCTGATTCTTCCCATTTTCAAATTCAGAAAGACACCATGATGTTCAGGTCGTATTCTCATATATAAATGGCAGAGTTGGGATACAAACCCAAGACTCCTGTTTCTAAATCCTGGGTACCGCCCATGATGTGTCCTCATGACCTTCAGCTCCAAACATAAGTGGTTTGTGTCTCTCTTCTCTAAACCAGGTTTCCCTTTTCACCAACCTTATGAGATCAGGCTACAGTCCATAAGGGCTACTCTTCTGCCAGACGCCCTCCAAGGGCATGTCTGCTTGAAGCTGGCTGGAATTGCTGGCCAGGTGATAGCAGAGCTCTGGAAATGACTCTGCAGTATCTAGGCAGCCTTTCTTTTCCACTTTCCTCTGACTTCTGCCAGGCAGAAAGGAGTTTGCAACTGAATGCTGATGTCCCCAAAACAGGGTTTGCTCCAATCTACTGGGAGCCACATGTCAAGAGCCATGGACCAGTAAGAGTTCTTTCCAGCAGTACCCTCATTTCCTCTGCTTTCTGTGTCAGGAAAAGTGTTATTTGCTCAAACTTGGGTTGTATTGCCAGTACAGAGCCCATACTGTTATCTGAAAATATCGTATTTCATGTTCATAGTTTAACTTCAGTAATTGTTCTCAAAAGGAGTGATTTTGTCCCACAGGAAACATTTGGAGGAGCAATGTTTGGAGATCTATTGGTGTCACAGTGGTGTCTTGGCATCTAGTCAATAGCAGGGAGGCTGCTTAAGACTCTAGAGTGTACAGAGCAGCAAAGAATGGCCCAGTTGCCAAGTGTCTAGCATTGAGGCTGGGGACTCCGCAACAAGCTCTGGAGACAGGGGCCTATCCATCTCATCTGCTGATCTACGTTAGTATCAAGAGCCTGCTTTCACGTAGAACGTGCAGTAAGTATTAGCCGAGTGATTGACCGAGCACGTGACTCAGAGCCTTGCCCCACTGAATGAACTGCTTGATGTACTGGGTTACAGCATAAGCCCAGATTAGCATGGACTCGGGCTCCAGAGGCTGTGTAACTGACAAGTAACTGCCTGTACTCCATGGGTTCCCATAAATGTGACTGAGCCAGCCCAAGGGTGGGGCTTAATTCCATCCTGGCTTTCAGTGAAACCACTGGCAAGCACAGGCACTGATCCTAGGAGCTGCCTGTGCTTCTTGAGGGAGTGCCAGGAAATGGCCAGGAGTTGGTGCTTGCAAAAACCTTCATTCTTTGTTTTTTTCTAATCAGATTTTATCAGTATGTTTTAGATATACACAATGATTACATTCATTATAGAAAATTCAAACCTATCATATAGCTTGTTTTTTCTCCATTCCTGTACCCTCCTCTCAACCCTTCCTGCCTCCCCAACAAGAGCTTTGTTTCTGTTTTCCTTCTTTTCTCTTTTTTTTTTTACTTTTCTCTTCTTGCCTTTCCTCCTCCCCTCTCTGTCCCCCATTTGAACATTTGCTTCCTATTTCACAACACCTATTGTACATTTTGGTCCTTACTTACACTTTCAGTTTCTCATACCAGGGAAATAGTGTGGTCTTTGTTTCACTTAAAGAGCACTGTCTCAAAGTGCATCCATCTTCCAAGAAATGTCTCCAGTGTACCTTTCTTCATGGCAGGATAGTAATCCACTGTACAAAAAACCCCACATCTTCTTTATTCATTCACCACTTGTTTGGCATTTGGGCTGTTTCCAAGATTTAGCTATTACAAACTGTGCCACTGTAAACATAGGTGTGCATATATTGCTATGTATGACGTTTTCAATTCTTTCAGGAAGATACCAGAAGGATACTGGCTGGGTCAAATGGAACCTCTAGTCCAAGAGCAAAAACATTGATTCTCTTCTTGGTGTGGTTCCAGAGAGTGGCCAGAACCAACCCAATGTGGCCTGGGTGAATCTAGATGAGCTTTTCCTGAATGGTATTATAGTTTACAATGAAGATGCTAGAGAGTGATCAAAATAAACAGCGAATATTTAGAATTAACATTTATTACAGTGAAAAACACATTTCTGTTAGTCCCCCTCAAAATACCCACCCTTACTTTGAGTACACATCTTGGTTTTCTTGCCACTTTCTGAAACAGTTCTGGAAGTCTTCTTTTAAGTGTCTACAAGGTGTGATGAAGAGCAGTGAATGTTGCTGCCAATGCCGTGTAACCCTAAGGCAGGCCTACGAAGACACGGCGTGTTCCCATCCATGGTTTGCACCGTGTCGGTACCATGGAACTTCTGGCTCTTGCCCCAGGTCCAAATGACTGTGAAAGGTAAATGCTTTGGATCAGTTCACGCCATCAAGACAGCCACAACAGCACAAATAAAGATACTCATCAAAGAAGTCGTCCAAATCTGCTTCAGAACATGGCAAGAATGATGAAATAAGTGTGTTCAAAGTGTGCTTGTCAGAGGGGGGATAATTTAAAGGGACTGATGGCAGTGTATCTTTTAGTGCAATAATTTTTTTAAAAATTATTCATTCGCCATATTTTTATCACATTTCCAAACTAGGTGGGATTTAATATGTAAGATGTCTTGGCATTAGACGGAAGATACTCTGTACCAGAAGTTGTGTGATACAGCATGAAGAGCATGGATTGTGGGGTTGAGCGCCTTGATTTACGTCAAGCTCTGCCTCTCCCCAGCTCGGTGATCTTGTAGGGTGAGGTTAGACATTCACTTTAATTGAGCCTCAGTTCTTTCATCCACAAAATGAAACCAGGCGTAGAATCCATCTTATAGGGTTGGCTCACATAAGGAAAGGAAAGGACTTGTCTCTGTTTCCTTCACCTCTAGTGAAGAGCAGAGAGTGTAAGGAAGGTTACTTTGGTCCGATGAATGGAACCTGAGATTCTAACTTACCTTGTAGCAGTACATCCAGAACAACTTAACCCGGTTTCACCTCAGTTTTGCTACCTGTGAAATATAAAAAGATGCACTTACTACCTCAGGGGGAGGGGGAGCAGAAGGAAAAAAGAGCCCGCACGTTGGAATTGCTTAGCTCTCAGGTGAGGCGCAGTGAGCACTCAAAGCCATCTGGGCAGTTACACTGGGGGGCAGGCAGCATCTTGCAAGAACTGGAGAATCCCAGCTGACTGTCTGGAGACATCTGTGTCAGCCCAGGCCATTCTCTGGACGGGAGTGTCAATAGCTCATCCTCAGTCACCACCCAGAGATGATATAAAAGAGCCCTGTTCAACTGGGATTGACATCATTTGGGTGAAATATAAAACTTCATCCCCTCAATAGATCTCAGAGTAAGGATGCCCTAGATACATCCATCACGCTGTCTCTGGTTCCTCCAGAATGTCTCATCTGATGAGGAGTTTAATAGCTCACCTTGTTTTTGGGTGGAAAGCTTGATTCTTGTGTGTAAGTTTTTCTGGGCCAAGCCTTGGGAGTTGTTTGGAGCACCTCTGCTTTAGATTCTGCTGTCTTTTTAAGTCACTTGGGACTGTATTACAGTGTGAACTGTGTCTAGATTCTGAATAGTGTAGGTGTTACTTCCTTTACTTGGAACACATCTTAGCCTCTGTTCTCCTCATCCATGAAGCCCCAGGTTATAGTGGGGAGGAAAGCTTATCAAGGCCTCCCGTCCCATGGAGCTTACATGGTGTCTTCATGGTGCAAGACTGGCAGACAAACAAGTAACTAAAACAGAAATATGTAAGTTCTGTAGGAAAACAGAGAAGCATTTGTGACAGGAAATGCCAGGTCTACCTCATGTGAGGACAAGGACAGAGCCCTTGAGATAGTGACATGATTTCAAACCAGAAAAAAAAGTAAAAGACTGCAACATGCCTCTATCTGGGGCTAGGCATTCCAGATGGGGAGCAGCACAGGCAGAGCCCCCAAATTGGCTTCAGGCTTCAACATGAGGAAGATGAGGAGGCTTGTGTGACTGCTGTTTTAGAGGCAGGACAACTGAGATAGAAGGAGTATGATCAAAGAATATAATGACTATTTAAACTCAAACTGTTGACACTCGAAATCATTCCCTCCCTTTGTACAGACTTCCTGCATCATTCTTGCCACTTTCCGAAGCACTTCTGGAAGCCTTCTTTCGTGAGGGTCTTTAATTACACTGTTGTGGCTGTTTCCGTGTCCTGAATTCATTCAAAGCTTTCACCTTTCATGGTTATTATGAGTGAAGAAACAGCAAGAAGTCACACAGTCACACGGTGCTAGATGATGAGGAAAATAGATGGGGACACGTTGTGATGTTTTTGGGAGCCTGCCTTTCCACTGGATGGCCCTTGGCAGAAACAGTCACTGTTTTTGCATTCACTGTATTTTTTTAATCACATCTCATAAAGACACTCAGGAAAGAGGACGTCCAGAACTGCCGCTGAAAGTGGCAAGAAGGGGTTTAATAACGTATGGTGTCTTTTACATAATACATTTTTAAAAATTTTGATCATCCCTTGGAAATGAAATCAGAGAGGTTGGATTTTTATCAGAGTAATGAGTCAGCGTCCCCGCACACTTACACTTTCCAGAAGTGAGCAGATGATTCCAAGCAGAACAATGAAGGGATGTGACTGTGCTTTCAAGACGGCCTTCCCTGGCATGCAGTGGTCAGATCGTCCTGCAGCTCCCTGGTTAGAAAGCTGGCTTTGTACACACACATGGAACTTAGATCTTGGTAAGGAGGGTCCACTCCACAGAAAGCCTGCACGAGCCGTTTTTATGAGGCAGCGCCTCTAGTGCTAAGCTTTAGGAGGAGACTGGGGGACAAAAAACATCTTGCTTCCTTCTCAGACTTTCATAGTTCTGTGTTCCAAAGCAAAGCTAAAGTTGACTGGGGGTTGGCTTTTCTTGGGTTCTTAGTTCCTGCTGCTGTTTCATCTGAACCCATTTCTCAGGGATGGTCTTGTTCCACCCTGTCTGGAAATGACTCTAAGTTTCTTCCCAACCCTCTCTCCTCTCTCACCTCCTAAGTCATGGGATTGGGGCAGAGGCAAGGCTGGGGTGTGTTCTCCTACTTATTTGAATCCTCCTTACCAACTGCTACAGCTGGGTGCTCTGGGAACTAAAAGTCAGGCCATAGTGGCTTTCACTTCCTTGTAAATCTTCCTCATTTGACCGCTGACCAGCTGACATAGCCTTGCCACCAGCCAGCCAGCCACCCTGGCCCGTCGAGGACGATTCTTATCAGCTGGGATCAAACGCAGGGCAGCCACAGACTGAGGTGGGAATTCCAATCTGACCTGCACTTCTAACCTCTGAATCCCTAGGGTCAGATGGGGTGGAGAGTGGGTATCGGGTGGGGTGAATGCAGAGAGACCATTTCTTAAATATGTGTGTGGTTTTTATTGCTGGAGAGGCCTCGCTGTTATTAGCTGCCTTTGGATCAGAAGTCAATTCTGAAATTATACGCCCCAGTCTGGTAGGATTCAAAAATGATTTCGAGGGCCAGGAATTTAAGCACAAAGTTGTGAGTTCGATCCCCTGTACCAAAAAAAAGGAGTTCTACCCATGGGCTGGGAGTTTAGCTCAGCAGCACAGTCACCTGCCTGGCAAGTGCAAAGTCATGAGTTTGATCCCCCATACCAAAAAAGAAAAAAAATGTGATTCCATACTTAGTGATAATCATAATGCTCTATGTACGGGTCCCATAATGTAAAACCCTGGTTGTTGAAATTAGAAGATGCAGCGTTGATGGGGGCCATGCCTAAAGTACATAAGAAATGACTACTTTGGTGGGGTTCTTTTTCTTTTGTTTTTGTTGTTAAATCTATTAAAAATTTAAAAGTGACATGTTGAAAAGAAGTTTGAATAAGATGATATTTATTAGCGGAGGATGTTGGGCACATTGTGTGGGTCCTTTGCACCCTGGCCTGGGAGCCGCGGCTGAGTCCCATCCCAGGGCTGGTGTAAACTAGCTGTGCGGCTTGGATTGCATCTGTTCCTAAATGCCCCATATCTCAAATGAGTGGCCGTTAATAGATGCTGTCTGTGATTCTTTCTATTTTAAGTTCCACAATTCTATTTCTAGTAAAATTATTTCTCTTTGGAAGTGATGTGAATTTTGTGCCTCTTTATAATACTTCCTTTTCCCTTTCCTACCTGCTAATGTAGCTCAGGACCCCGAGCCTTCCCATGCAAAGGCAGCTAATAGCAGCAAGACCTCTCCAGCCATAAAAAGGCACATATTTAAATGGGAAGGCTTTCCTACCATCTGTCACTGTGTGCTGTAGCATTGCTAGGTGTATCTCTGTGCCGTTACAACCTGAGGCTTTGTGTTGGTTTTTTTTTTTTTTTGAGGCAGGGTCTGAATATGTAATGCAGGCTGGTCTTGAACTCACTTGTATAGCCTAGGCTTGCCTCAAACCTGTGGCAGTTCTGCCTCAGCCTCCAGAGTGTCGGGATTACCAGCGTGCACCACTGCACCTGGCTGGGGTTGGGGTTTAGCTCCACCATTAATGAATCCTGTTATTTAATCATCTAATGTCACTTTATCCCATAATATTGGAGTGAAGAGAATACTTACCTTGGGGAGCACCCTGAGTCCTGATGTGAAAGGGCTAAGTTTCACACCTGGATGTTAGAAAGTCCTATGAGTGACAGAACCAGTCTTATTAAAATGCCCTTGCCAGGCTGGCGATATAGCTTAGCAGCACAGCACCTGCCTGGCAAACATGAGGATGTGAGTTTGATTCCAATACAAAAAAAATGCCCTTGCCGGTGCCAGGCATACATAAGGAGACACAAAGAAACCAGTGATTGCTTGTCTTCATTTCCCCTCCATTCAATCTGGGGAATGTTTTTGCTGTTGTGTTTGTTAATAGATTTTTCACTGTCACTTGTGTCTTCTTGAAAATGGCGTAGTGATAGTCTTCTCATTTAAAAGCTTCTTTAAAAAAAACTGGGAACATGTACAAATTACAGAAGGGCTTAACCATTTGTCAACTTTTACACAAATAGGGACCACAAAAGTGATTTATTTCATTCCTAGCATATCATTTAAAGGCGTGTGTGTGTGTGTGTCTGTGTGTGTGTGGCAGTACTGGAGGGTTGAATCAATACCTTTTGCATGCTAGGCAAGCCCTCTACCTCTGAGCTATGTTTTTGGGTTTTTTTCACTGAGTTGTCTTTCCAGCCCTTATATTTTTTATTCTGAGACAAAGCCTTACTAAGTTTACCAGGCTGGCTTTGAACTCACCATCCTCATGCCTCCATCTCCTTAGTAGCTGGGATTACAGGTATGAGCCAGCATGCCCATATGTTAGACTTTGTTATGAGACTCAGAGGGGTTAAGAAATTCTGCAAGGTAACATAGCAAATAAGAGATAAAATATGATGTCAAGCCAAAGCTTTATTGACGTAGAACTCCTGTGCAAGTTATATCACCTCTCAGGCCTCAATTTGCTGGTACTTACAGTGAGTCTACAGATTAATGAGCACTGTGCCATGCCCTTCGCCTGTGGCACAGTCATGCATCTGTTGGTGTGGTTGTGTGTCTTCTCTGGTATCACATGAACTTACTGAATTAGGGTTTTCTCACTCCAACAACCACTCTGTCAGATCCAGGCAGTTCTGTGCCTGGGTGAACCAGAGCCTAGACTCCTGGTCTAAAGAGGGAGTTACTCTGCCACACTCTGGAGAAAATCAAACCCAGTGTTTCAGACTTTACCATTAGTTAAAAGAAGCTCTCCAATTGGGCATGGTAGTACACACCCATAATCCCAGCACTGTGGGAAGCTGAGGCAGGAGATTAGCAAATTGAAACCCCACCTAGGCAATTTAGCAGTTTAGCCAGACCCTTTCTCAAAATAAAAAAATGAAAAGGACTGGGGTATGGGTCAATGCAAAGGCCCTGGCCGGAGGGGAGGGAGCAGCGACAAAAAAGAACCTCTTTTATTGGGTATTGTTTCCTGATTTCTTATATTATCACTAAAATTTATTCCTAAGCATTTTTGATGAACAGTATACATCTACCACTTTTAATAAGTGACAAGGGGCAGGTCTTTCTATTACTAGTGACAATCAGATTCGCTCCTGACCTCCAGAGAACCATCCTCACACAGAGGAAGGGGTACAGTGAATCCTGAGCCAGATGGACATACTGCTGCCCATTGCTGGGGACCATCTGTCCTCTGTAGGGTGCGCCTTGTGCTCTGTATTACACCTTATAGGCAGATGTTGGTTCACAGCCCTTCCCAGATGTCCGCCTGTCATGGTATTTGTGTTGTCATATCAGTGTTCACAGGTAGACAGCGCTCCTTGACAAGTGACATCATTTGGGCAGTCTGTCTGTTGGAAGGATTTTGCTTCCGTTTGGGTATAGAAACCTGTATCTTATAAAAGATGCTCTTGCTTGCAAAAAGTGGAATCCAACTCAGTTTAGATTAAGAGAGAAACAAATGGATTGTTCTAGGAATTCAACTGTCTCATCAAACTCAAAGACAATTTGACCAGGCTGGTAGAAAGAATGAAAGTGACTATGAAGACATTAGGAATCCTGACAATAATTCTTCAACTTTTCTTCACAGCCCACTTGATTTTTCATGCCTCCTTCTAGCTACTTACTTGAGACACTTGTGTGTCTCATTCTTTCTGCAGAATTTTCCCCACACATAGCACCCAAAGGATACCCCATAGGTTTTCATCCTGACAGATTCAATTCCAGATTCTCTGACTAAAATTCTGATTGGCCAGCTTCAGTCAGGTGTCTAGTCTTGGTCCAATCAGTAGAAGCCAAAGGACAGATCAAATTGTAGAAACATAGTCACCATTGCCTTTGTTTGTAATAAGGTGATTAGATACATCAGTAAAGATATTTATTGCTTAGTAGGTTATAATAAAATTATGTTGACAAAAAGGATATTAATTACTTGGAGGGAGATCCAAAAGAAAAAATAAATGCAAAAAAACATGACTGTTGAAGTCAAACAATAAATTTATTTGGATTATGGGACAACAGAGTGGCTTGAATTATTGCACTGTCTTTAGTGGATTCATATTTTTAAATTGTTCCGGTTTTATTATATTTTTCTGTAAGGTATGCACTTGGAGTTAACTTTTGTAGGTGGTTTTATAAAAGAAGTAGAACAATATAAGCTGGCACATTTACTTACCTATCTTTCCCTCCTATAATGTAGATAATTGGAAGAAAAGGTGGCTTCTTTGGGGGAGGCAGTGAAATAGGGTCTTACCATGTATTACAGCCTGGCATTCAACTCACTGTGTAGCCCAGGCTGGCCTCCAACTCATGGTGATCTTCCTGCCTCAGCTTCCCAAATGCTGAAATTATAGATTTGAGCCACCATGCCCAGCAGAAGGAAGGCTTTTTTCCTTTATGTTTTCTTTTCTTTCTTGTAGTGCTGGGAATTCAGCCCAGGGTCTCACATTAACCTTTGATCAGTGAACAATACCTCCAGTTTCCTTATTCAAGTTTGACTTGAATTTTTTCTTTCCCAGGTAACTTTGAATAGATAATACTGAAATACGTATTTTGATTTATTAATCTGTAAAATGAGAATATTTTTCTGTCATTGATTTTTTTAAATAAAGCTTTAGTAGGTAGAGAATTCATGAACAGGAATCAAACCACATGGGAAATACTTCCCAGAATCAATAGCTGGGATCACATCTTATTAAAAAGTTTCTGCATGTCAAAAGAAATCTCCAGCACAGTGAAAAGAAAACCCACAAACTTGGAAAAAAAGTCTTAGTGAACTGTCCCTCAGACAGAGGACTTCTATCTAAAACATATAAAGGATTAAAAAAAATCAGACCCCCAAAATTCAAAGACCCAATCCAAAAATGGGCATCTGAGATGAATACACAGTTCTCAGATGAAAAAATACAAATGGAAAATAAATACATGAAAAAAGGTTCATCGTCATTGGTCATTAGAGAAATGCAAATTAAAAACAACACTGAGATTCCATCTCACTCCAGAAAGAGTGGCCAGGTTCAAGAAAACTACCAACAACAAATGCTGGAGAGGCTGTGGGGAAAAAGAAACACTCCTGCACTGTTGGTGGGACTGTAGGCTGGTGCAACCACTGTGGAGATAAGTCTGGAGATTCCTCAAAAAGCTGGGATTGGAAGTCCTATTCAACCTAGCTATTCCACTTCTAGGCATATTCCCAGAAGAACTGAAAACATCATACCACAGTGATATATGATGTGCACCCATGTTTACAGCAGCATAGTTTGTAATAGCCAGATCTTGGAAATAACCTAAGTGCCCATCAACTGAGGAATAGACAAAAAAGTTGTGGTATTTTTATACAATGGAGTACTACTCAGCTATAAAGAATGATCACATTGATATATTTATAAATAAATGGATGCAACTTAAGACCGTACTCATAAGTGAAATAAATCAAACTCACATGTATAAATCCCATATAGTCTCCCTAATGTAAGTAATGGTAACAGTACATAAGAGTTTATGATAATCATGATTTTCCATTACATTGCTTTGAAGCCTTATAATGTTTTCATTCATTAGCTGGAATGGTTTTACCCTGGTTTGTTTGATTTTATTATCTCTGATAGTATGAACAGCTATTTTGAAGAAAACAAGACATTAGAATAGCCAGTGCTGATTTAATATCATCTTACTCTGAAGTCCTACCATGCTTTTGTTCTTCTGTTTCCTTTGGTTCTATCATGTTATATCTTATTGGACATTATTATGTGTGATAGTATAAACAAATTTTCTATGGAAAATGAGATAATATAGTAGCCATTGTTCATTCTCTGTTATTTGGTTCTGAAAGCCTGTAATGCTTTCATTCTCTTGAATGGTTTTATACTGTTTTGTTATGTTTGATACTAACGTATATGAAGTTATGCTCAACTATTTCAAAGAAAGAGACATTATGGTAGTTACTGTTAATTATGGGTTGTCTTATGGTAAAATGCTGTGTTGCTTACATTGTTCTGATCTGAAAAAAAAAAAGGAGATCAGATGGGAAATTTTCAACCTGAGGTGTTATGTCAGTACTCAAAATGGTTTGAATTTTGGAACTTTTTAAAATATTAAGCTCCATGTGTGTGTGTGTGTGTGTTCAGATTAAGTAAAGTTACTATAAAATAAAAAAACAAATGGAGCTTTAATGATTATAATCATTAAATAATATATGTAAATTGACTAGCTCAGTTCCTAGAACTTCCAAAATTTCATTCATTTCCCTTTGCTACTCAAGGTGTGTATTTGACCTTGCCATTGCAGAGTTAAGGAAATAATCTGTGGCCGTGGGACAAAGTAAACTTGCCCAATTACTTAGCACTACTTCAGCAATTCTCATGGGCCGTACCTTCGTAATAGTACAGAGGCATAACCAGCTGAGCTAGACTGAGGTTCAGAACAGAGTTCAATCAAACATGCAAGTGCAAAAAAAGTACTGTTTTTTACATTGAAAACAAGATACTGTACTCATCCTCCATTTCCTTATCAGTTAAATGGGAATAATGATACCAATTCTAGAAGGTAGCTGAGCCACTCAGAGATAATATTCAAAAAATACTTAGAGCCATGCTGAGTACACAGTCAGTGCTCAGTTGACCCTTTTTAAATTTCTTCTTTGTCTCCTTCTCCTTCCTCCTCTTCTTCCTTCTCCTCTTTCTCCTCCTCCTCCTCTTCTTCTTCTTCTCTCTCCATCTTCCTTCTTTCCTTCCTTTTTTTTCTCAAATGGAGTGATTTCACTGTATTGCCTAAGCTGGCTTACACTCCTGGACTCAAGTGATCCTCCTGTCTCAGCTTCTTGAGCAGCTGGATTACAGGCACATGCACAGCACCTAGCTTTTCTTTTTAACTTGAGCTCATACGTGCTTGAATTCGATACAAAACACTGCCCCGGCTCCCTTCTTCAAATGTCACGCAGCAGTTCACACCTGTGGATGAAGCTAGATGTGCACAGTTCACTGTGACATTTCTCGTACCAGCAAAACGGGGCAACTCAGCAGGGACTCATTACTTTATTATACACCTACGTGATGGTCTGATGCTATGGAACCTTTGAAAAAGAAGGAAGTCTGTCTCTCTGCGCTGACTGTAGGGAGATCACCAAGAAATACTGGAGTAAAAACATAGGAGACAGAACAGTGAGTGCAGCATAATTCACCTCGAATCAAAAAAGAAATTTTATAGATATTAAATGTGTGCAGACACACATACATATGTATTACATTTTCAAATGGTTATATACATAAAATGCTATACATACAAATATCCAATATATTAAAAAATTTAATGTCAAATATGTATTTTTAAAGCTCAGCATGATGGTACACACCTGTAATCTCAGCACTATAGGAGGCTGAGGCAAGAGGATCACAAGTTGGAGCTCAGCCCAGGCAACTCAGTCACTTAGTGAGACCTTGGACTAGCTGAACTCAGTGCAAAGATGCTGGATTCAATCTTAAATACTGTAAAAATGTATATGTATACTGATATACTTTCTGTACGTGTGTGCTGTATGTATATGTGTTGTATAATCCATAAATGCATATCTGAAAAAATTATATATAGTCTGTAAGGATTCTCAAACCACCAAGGTAGTGATTTTTGCAGATAAAATGGTTTGGACCATTGAGTTAATCAATAGGAGGGGGATGCCATCTTTACATTCAGTGTATTGTTTAAATATTTTAAAGAATATTAAAATTTTAAGGGATAAAATTAACATATCGTTGAAAATTTATACATCAAACTGTTCTTAAGTATGTGTCTGAACTGCTCTTAACTGTAGCTGATGTACTGGTTAGTTTTCCCATTGCTGGAACAAATACTTGATACAGTTCCAAGTAGAAAAGGTTTGCTTTGGCTCATGGTTTCAAAGGTTCCCTCCGTGGTCAGCTGGCTCCAAGGAAGAATCATTGTTATGAAGGACACGGTGGAGAAAAGCTGTTCAACTCATGGTGACCGGGGAGCAAAGCAGGTTGGAAGGACCAGAGAGGATGGGGTTCAGAACCAGACAGAGGTCCCCAGGGTCACAGCCTTCATGCCCCACTTCCGCCAGCCAGGCCCCCTCTTATAATAGCCCATTTGGATGTGAACTCACTGGGCACATGCCCACAAATGATGTTACAACCTGCATGGTCCAGTCACTTTTCCAAGGGATCTTGGTTGAGTTGACTCGGTTAATCAGCACATCAGGTGATGCCTAAAAAAAAAACAACAAACTTTCTGAAAAGTAAAATGCTCCATTTTAACTTTACGTAATATTTTTCTTCTTATGAGTGCATCACATTTATGCAAGCACACCCACAATTAAAGGTATTTCCAGTTGAAAAATACTTTCTTTTGGGAAGGAGACCTACTTTACATAGTGTAATTTTGTATGTATTTAGGACTATGGTATACTGAATGGGCATTATTTTTCAATACAGAGTGACCTTTGCCTTTCATTCTTTTGTCTTTTAATCCCATGTTAATGTTCCATAAGAAATCTTTTATTTTGAGGTATCCTGGTCTACGTAAGCAAGTTCAAGCCCAGCCTGCGCTACCTAGTAAGACTGTGTCTCAAATAAACAAAAACAAACCAAAAAACAAGGGGGAAGGAAACCCACTCTGGACCCTGCCTGTCTCTCAGGAGCTGTTCCTTTTCCCCATTCCTTTTCTTCAGTGAAATTTCCCACTATTTAAAAAGAGAGAGAAAGAAATCTGTGTCTAGCAGGACTTGTTGGTGCATGCCTGTAATCCCAGAATTTGGGAGGCTGAGGTAGGAGGCTCACTGAGAGTTCAAGGCCAGCCTGAACTCCATAGCAAGACTGCTGCTAGCCTAGCATGTTGATGAGCTCAGCTGAGCTGAAGCTACTTCAGGCTGAGCACATCCCCTACAAATTAAATGATAAAGTGAGTTGATAGATGTGTGACCAATACTAGCTCTGACACTTGTACTGTCTTGTCCCCACAGATGACAGAAGGCAGGCACTGCCAGGTGCACCTCCTGGATGACAGGAGACTGGAGCTGCTGGTTCAGGTAGGTGTCGCCCACCTCCTCTGAGTCCCTGCAGGCTGCTGTAGCCTGCACATGCACATTTGGAGATACGGGTTCATCTCAGCTTGAGCATTTCTGGGCTGTGTGACCCTGAGCGAGTGACTGAACTGTGACTCTCTTGTTGGTCAGTTGAGGGCACAGTGCCTATGCAGAAGAGTTGGTGTGCGGTGGTTCCTGCCTTCTGTCACTTTCCAGCCATGTGGCCTTGTGTGAGTGAGACACCAGTTTCACCAGCTGTGTCCAGAGGTTCAGACAGCTGTGACCACAGAATTAGGGTTAAGTAGATGATGCTCTATGAGTGATGATATTTCAGTTTTTAGTGTTTTCTGTCTGCTTGCCCAGCATTCTGGACCAAAATCCTATGAGCTTATGGAAGACCTTGCAGACAGACTGTGCCTCAGCAGGCCAGACTTCTTTCCTCTGGCCACTCTGCACTCTTGTCCCTCTGAGGCGTGTCCCCAGCCCACTCTGCATGGACTTCAATTAGAATGAAAACAGTACAGCTGACTGCAGTTTCTCCAGAGTACAAGTTTTAGTCTGCACTTCTGCCTTTTCTCCTCTCCTTTCTTCCCTTTCCTTTCTCCCTTTCACTATCCCTCCCCTTCCTTTTTTCCTTCCTACTTTCCTTTAAGTCATGCCCCATCTTTTCTTCTCCAGCAGAAGAGCCCTCACCTTCATCATGATCATGCTGTCCCGTGGCTTAGAGTTGAGAGGAATCTGTCCTGATTCCCTCCTGCAGAGACCCGTTCCTTCCCTAGTTCCTTCAAAGCCAGCATCAGCCTCCCCCTGCACATGCTGGCAGATTCTTACATCCTCTGCCAGGTGCAGAGCTCACCCCAAACTCATAGGTTAGATCCCCCTGCTTGGTACACACCGCTACTGATGCTGAGCAGACTGGGCACAGTGGCTCCATCCACAGAGAGAAATAGAGTCCTGGACTCCATTGGCTTCAGAATGAGGCAGAAGCAGGTTCAAAACACTGAGCAAAACACTGCAAAGTCAAGTGAGACACCAACCTCTTTGGCTTGGTTGGCTTATTTATAAGATGGGGGTGGAAAAAAAAGCCCCATCTCATGAGCTTATTATTGTAAGTGAAAGCATATAAGCTCAGGATGATGAATGGTAGCCACACTTGTTACTGTTGTTAGTCTTGCCTGTGGCCCTGCACCCTTAAGTTTTGAACCTCGTAAGTTTTGAGCCTCTTTAATTGGCCACCACCAGGTGAAATTACATCTATAACCATTTATAATATTGCAGGGAACTAGAAATAAAGTGTTTAATTATTAATTTCACAACTTGGTCACCAGCATCATACTGAAAAAATTTTTTTTCCAAACACCAACATATTAGTAAGCTTACTGTTGCCTTAGAGGGAAAAAAGTAAGATATTCAAGTGAATTGCAAATCCATGAAGGAGAAAATATCTCACTGATATTCCTGGTCCCATCTCTGTTCTTTCCCATAACTCTAAGAAAAGAACCTTCTATTGCGTCTGACCCTACTTAACAAATGGGGCAGGTATTTAAAAACAAACAGGCAAGCCATGGCTGCTTTAAGTTACATCGACTTTGGGAGACTGAGGCAAGAGGATCACTGTGAATTTGAGGCCAGCTTGGGCTAGATAGTGAATTCAAGGCCAGCTTAAAGTTCATAGCAAGGCCTTATCTTTAAAAAATTTACATATGGCCAAAGAAGATGGTAGCAGAAAGAACAGGAGATATCTGAGGCGGGGCATGGTGGCACATGGCTGTAATTCCAGCACTCAGGAGGCTGAGGCAAGAGGATTACTCCAAGTTCGAGGCCAGTCTGGGTTGCAGAATGAGTTCAATTCAAGCCTGAACTGCATAGTGAAACCCTGTCTCAAAAGGACAAAAAAAAGTAACCAAATTGCTTCTAATCAAATTTTTTATTTTAACAGCCCAAACTTTTATCAAGGGAATTGCTGGACCTTGTGGCTTCGCATTTCAACCTGAAAGAAAAGGAGTACTTTGGAATAACATTTATAGATGACACGTAAGTGTTCAATAATTTCTATTTGCCTTTTGCCTATCCACTGGCTGTCATTCATTATTAACAGAAATTAACAAACAACAAAGACACATTAAGGACTTGAGGGTGTCCTGCTTAGTTAAAGATTGCTTACTACAGGATTTTTCCCCCTAGGACAAATGCAAAGGGAGAAGAAAAGGAATATTAGCCATTTGAAAAACTCAAAACATTACCCTCAGTGTTATATGGACTTGCTAACTTAGCTTATGTATCAATGATAGAAATACTAAACGTTTCTTCACTCATCTCAAAACTACATTAATGTTATGGTGTTGGTGGCCAGCAGGTTTAAAGGCATGCGTGTGACCTATCTAAAAAATATGTGTATAGTTTAATGTGGAATGAACTTCCTGACAGAAACCAAGGTCTGTTGTATGTTCCCCTTTTGCTTTCATATTCTTCTTTTTTTTCCCCATTTGATGCTTTGTTAGTTTTGGTGTGTATGTATATATGTATATATTTTTCTCATCAATTCAAATCATTTTTGAAATGAGGTCAGTACAATATGTAAGAACAAATTCCTAGGGGCTGGGGATTTAGCTCAGCGGCATAAGCGCCTGCCTTGCAAGCAGGCAGTCATGAGTTCGATCCCTGGTACCGATAAAAATGAAAAAGACAAAAAAAAAAAAAAAAAAAAAAAAAAAAAGAACAAATTCCTAAAAGTGTAAAACGCTATGTCACTGAGTATGTTTGGAGTTACTAGCTCTTTTCTTTGCCCTGTGTGTGTGTGTGTGTGTGTGTGTGTGTGTGTGTGGGTGTGTGTGTGAGCGCACGTGCCTCTGTGTGTATCTGTTTCACAGCAGCCTAATTTGCATACATTTTATGTGACCAGATATATTATCAGACAAATTCTTTCGCTTTCTGGACATGATCTCCAAAGAGTCCTTAAATATTAACATTTAAGAAAATATGTTCCAGACCCAAAATCTGTTGTCCAGCCGCCTCAACATTCTTTCCGTAACTGTCTCATTTTAAGTGTTTTTTTCATTTCTTCAGGTCAACCAGGTGGAAAATAATTTCCAGAAGGGGGAGTCATTTGTTTTCCACCCCAGGTGGCTTTTAGGCGTTTCCAGCCTTGGGTGGGCTGTTTGCCGAGGACCTCCAGGAGGTGCTAGAAACCTTGGGACCTGGGGCTGGGGCCGGCTAAAATTCAGACAGCTGTCAGGAGCTGTAGAAAACCCGGCAAGCTCAGGTTCTAGCCTCTTGATGTTTCCTGAAGATAGGGAAGCAACGCAGGAGAAAGTCAGGGAGCGCTGCCTGCCTCCTAAGGCACACGGAAACGTCTTTTCATCATCCTCCCCCTGCTGGGTGAAATGGGAAATGCAGCCATTCCTTGGCCACCGTTCTGGCCAGAAAGCCAAAACCAGTTCATGTGAATCTGTGATGCCTCACACACACACAGACACACACGCGTGCACGCACACACACACCCACTGTATCTGGAAGTGAATGAAAGAATAGCAAACCGTGAAAGACCTAAAACCATAAATACACAATGGCTAAGTGATATGTTACGAACTGTAATTGTTATAAGCACTATAATTTAGGAGAAGGTCACACAGAGTTGAGACTAAAAGCATGGATACTGGAGTCATTTATTTGTTCAACAAATATTTCTTAAGTGCCCACGGAAGACCAGATGTAGCTCTGTGTCTGTGGATTCAGCTGTGAGCGACACAGACAAAGTTTCTGCGTCTATATAGAGAGTTTCTGTGGCAGAGATCTGATCTACCATAGTAAGTAGACATGGATAAGTGAGAAAATCCTAATTATAACTAAAGAACATAAAATAAGGGGCCACATCAGGAAAAGTGGAGGATGAGCTATGTTAAGCAGTGGGCCAGGATGGTGTCTATGGGGGGCTGTGTAATGAATAGAAAGCAGGAACCAACTCTGCTTTCCCAGACTGTCCTCTCATTGTCAGGCCTATGACTGTCATCAATCACTGCTCACCAGTGGTGTACCAGCTGCTTTGGGGGCTGAGGCAGAAACATCACAAGTTTGAGCTCAACCTGGGCAATTTAGCAATTTAGTGAGACCCTAATCCCCATTACCAAAAGGGGAAAACAAAGATGAGGGCCGAGAGGGAGACGAGGGGCAGGCATCGTGGAATATTAGTAGCTGTGTGGTTTTAGAGCAGTTATCTGACATCTCCAACACGCAAGTTTTCTCATCTGTACCATGGACATCTAATAGTACCTATATAGTAAATACCGCATAGGGCCTTTATAATAGGGCACTGGGGTTATATGCTGCTAGTCAGTCAAATCAGATATGTAGAGCCACAGTATAGCCACATAATGAAAGGGCACTCACTTCCTGTTGTTAGTAGTCATGGTGATCAGAGAATGTGCACAGTGGTGCAGGGGTACACGATGGCCTTCTCACAGGAGGGTCAGTAGAGTGGGGCCTAGGAGGTGGACTTTAGATAGAAGAGGAGGACATGGTCTTGCAGGTAAGAGTCATTTGGGGACGGAGGTGCAGACACTGCAGTAAACACGGTGCATTTGCCCATTGTGAAGATACCAGCCCAATCATGGTGCAAGAGGTGAACAGAGGACAAGTTCACAGGTGACCCTGTGAGTCACAGAGATGGAGGAGGCACCCTCAAGCTGGAAGAATGCCACACAGAGGAGGAACAGATTTATGAGCGCAGTGCCAAAGGCTCCTCAGGCTGCAGGACTCATGCTGGGCTGGGAAAGAAGGTTCTGGACACCTGAGGGCTTCTGGGAAAGCTCTAAGGTCAGATGAACAACAGCCAGGCAGTGCATAGATCAGGCATCCAGCCTCCTTCAGAAAGAAAAGGAATGACAGCAGTGACTTTCCTTGAGGCCCTGGGCCACCCTTCTCCTTCTCTGCCTAGGGGTTTCTCTCTGAAACTGTACCAGCAGAAGAGTGGCCAAGTCCTCCCCCGGGTGTCTCCTTGGGCTCCCACAGGCCAGGCGCAGACTTCTCCAGAACCTGGCCCTAACATATCCTCTCCGTGCAGCACTTGCTGGCAGGTGACAGCACCATCTATTTCTGGCTCTGGCTACATCAGTTTTCAGAAGTATGAGGTGATCTTTCTGGAGGAAGGGAAGAATTTGCCATTTCCCTCTTGCTGGGGAACAGGCCTGGAAAATTGCTTATGTCTAAGGGTGTCTTCTTGGAATTTCTTGGTCACAAGGCTACCTTTTTTTTTTTTTTTTCTTTTTTCCTTTGTCTGGTAAATATATTTGGAAAGCATTTTTTCAGCACTCCCCTCCTCCACCCACATGGAACCACTGAATCAGATCCCTCCCAGAGTGCACCTAAATGGACTTTTCCAGTCCAAATGCCACATCAGCCTTGTGCCATTGGTAAACTTCTTTAAATAGAGTAAGCTGGGGCTGAACGGGACATTTGGTCAGTGAAACTAGCGGGTGTCTCTGCCCCGCCCCCCCCCCCGGCAGAAATGGAAAAATAGACTGCAGTTACATAACGAGAGCAGTAATGACAGCCAGCAGAAACAAATCCAGCGGAAAATTAGAGGGAAGAGATGATTTCCCATCCCAGACTGTCTTAGGGATCTGGGTGCAGGGCGCATCTCCCTCCCCTAGAGGGCAGTCTCGCTCTCCTGAGGTGGCCCCTTCAATTCCCCATCGATTTTTTTCAATCACTTTTTTCTTTTCTTTCTCTTTTCTTTTTCTTCCTTCCTTCCTCCCTCCTTCCGTTCCTTCCTTCCTCCCTCCCTCATTCCTTCCCTCCCTCCCTCCCTTCCTTTCCTTTCCTCTTTCCATGTTTTGAAAGATTTTGCTGAGTAAGCTTCGTTCACGCGGAATCAACACAGAGGCTTCACTGCACACCTCTGACTTCTGATCACTGTCCTTTCGGTAGCCTGAAGTGACATACTTCCCACTGATGTAATTCTGTCCAAAATGAAAACTTCAATTTTTGGGGTTGGTCTGCATAGTCCGGTAGGGTCAAGGTGATTGGATCTGTTACATTTCCTAGTGAAAACACTAAAAGGAACAGGTTGTAAACAATAAGCAATCTCACTGTTATCTTAATGGGATGACTATGAGTAATAATTTCTTAGACTTCAGGACTTTTTCTTGCTAGTGAGAAATTATATTACATACACATGGACATCTTTTTAGAGAAATGTTGAATGTCATAGTTGAAGCCAGGTCCTTTTTACTTCCTACTCCAATTGTAGTTTAGTCATGAGAGACAACTTGTGCTAGTAATTGACTTTAAGTCCTACCAGAACTAAACCAAAAAATTTTCATCCATGTTTAACAGTGTTTTAACTGTACCTCTGTGTCTAACCTAATTGGCTTGTGCTGTACACGTCATCATAAACTTGCTTCTTTCATTCTTACCCATGCAACTTCGTATAAATTATGCCTTTTAAACAATGCAACATCTTCTCTATAATAAAAGAATGAAGGACAATTCAAAGTTAGTTCCACTTGTCATAAAACTTTTGAGGCCAGATACTCAACAATACAGTTTTTTGCGTATTTTAAGACACATATTTGAACATCTCAAATTGGGGTGTCTTTAAATCAGTGGCCTCCTGACAGGCGTGGTAGCAGGTGCCTGTAATCCCAGCACTTGGAAGGCTGAGGTAGGAGGATCATGGTGAGTTTGGGGCCACCCTCGGCTACATGGTGAGTTCAAGCCCAGCCTGAACCATGTAGTAAGACCCTGTCTAAATAAATAAACAAGTAAACATCAGTGGCATCCTACACTTGAAATATGGTATAAGTATTCCTTAACCTGAACCCTTTGAACTTCCTCCCGCCCTCTCACACACAAAAGCAGTTCTAAAATGTTCTTACGTTATGTACATCAGCTTATTTACCTTCATTGTATTCCTCCAAGCAAATCAAGAAGTAATTATGAGCAATCTTACTTGTAATTATGGAACCAAAGATGCATTTTTCCAGTGTTAAAACTGATGACAGAGACTCATCTAAAGTGATTATAAGTGCTAATTAATCCTCTAGCTTTATTTTCTCCTGTATTAGAAGTTGTGGGTTCAAATCCTAGCTCTACCACTGTCCTTGCAGACGTAGCATAAAATAACAGTATCAAGGTAAAAAGTTTTATGATGGTGAACAAAGACTAGCTACTCAATAAAGAGTACTCTACCTGTTTTTCTGAGCCCTTCCTTCCCCCAGTAAAGGGGACTGAACTCAGGGCGCCTCTGAGCTAAGCTACATCCCTAGCAATTTTTTTTTAAACAGGGTTTCTCTAAGTCTGTAAATTGCCCTGGCTGGACTTAAACGTGTGTTCTTTCTGCCTCAGCCTCTCAGAGAACTTGAGATTATAGGCTACCACAGCTACCTTGATAGTTTTTATTTAATTATTTTACTCAAGAACCAAAATAGTTTGAAAAATGTCTTCCAGCCCATTATAGATTTTGCTGCAAATTGACACTGCATTTCATCTATATGAGCCACAGTGGCATGTTCTTAAATTGAATTTTATGTAAGCAAATAAAGTGGTCTCTAAAATGCATGGACTTAGTAAGACAGCCTCGGAAAAGTCATATAAACAGTCCACACTGTCATCAGTCCCTTTGATCCTCAGAGATGGAAATCTAGAGAAAGTTATTTACACCCATGAACTTGATAAGGCTCTTGAGTAAATAAACACCTGCTTAAATATTGGTGAGTCCGTTAGCTGCAGACAGAAATAGCAGACAGTTATTTGTCCTTGTACATTTTTAAAGGCTATGATATCGGGATCTGTGTCTGTTTGATTTCATTAAACAGGAAGTTTTCCCCTTCTTGACAAAAATATTTATTATTTAATAAGAATGTAAAGATTAATAAATGTTGCCCAGTTTTTGACCTCCCCAAAGTAGCCAGTGTTACCAGCCTCTTATCCCCTCGGAGAATTTTGATATGTGGGTGCACCTATATATCAATTCTTTTCATTAATTTATAGCAATGGCAATATCCTGTGCTTATTGTTATGCATCTTGCTTTTTTAAATTTAGTATTTTGTCTCAAAAGTTGTTCCTAGTAAGTTTATAAACAGGCTCTGCGGCCTAGTTAAGACTGCATTTTAGCTCGCTGTAGAGTTTTAGGTAACTATTTTAACAAAACTCTACAGGACATTTAGGAGATTGCCTGTTCTTTTGTGAATGCTGCCAATGATCACTTTTGAAATGTGCGTGCTGGCCCCATGAACCCACGGAGTTGGAAATGTGGCTCAGAGGCAGGTGTGTCTGACTGCTCCCGGGGTCTGAGAGTAGCTGCTTCCCTCCAGCTTTGCCCACACTGTGTGTTAGGAGGCTTTTCACTCAATCCTGGTTCTTTGCTTTGCTCTCACAGTGGTCAGCAGAACTGGCTGCAGTTAGATCACCGGGTTCTTGACCACGATTTGCCCAAGAAGCCAGGCCCAGCAGTTTTGCACTTTGCTGTCAGGTATGTATGCAGAAGCTTCCTTTTGTTTTTCTGATGACCAGAGATGAAGATAAAAGGATGAGACTTACCAAGACATCATGTGCTGGGGTGCACTACTATCTTGATCTGGGGACCAAGTTACCATAGATACTGTGTAGAGCTGTTTTCGTTAAGATAGAATTGCTTCCCTTACTTCCTCAAACCTGCTAAGATCAACTAAAGGCTGAAAAACATGATGCCTGATATATTTTAATACATAAGCCTGTTTCTTAATATGCTCTCAGGATTCCCATTATTTGAAACATGGCAAACATGTGGTACTGTATTTTGTGTTAGAATAATGTTTTTGAGAGACTTAGAAATCATTGAACTTTATACCGTTTCATGCCTTATTGGAATGGGAGATAAAGTACAAAAAATGCCCATGGAAAGAATTATCTTAACAGTTCAGAGATCAGAGCTCTGTTTGCATGTAGAGAGACTGCTGAAAATAATCCCCGGGCTCCATGCTTGATTCATTCTCTGAGCTCTGGGTGGGCAAGTGACTTAACCATATCCTGAAGTGGATGGATGCGTTTAACTAATGCAGTGGTCTTGCAAAGCCAGCTTATTGTGGGAATGTTTAACACTAATTACTGCCATCTGGCGTAAGTCAGACGCTGTAAGAGGTGGACACCCATGTTCCTCTGCCTAGTTTATGTGATATACAAAACACTACCAATTGAGCTGAGAGCCCTCCCTAAATTCTGGCACTCCCATCATCCTAAATTTGATAAAAGGATCATGATAAATTTAATTTTCTGCCTCAGAGGCAAATAATGATTTTTAAAAAGTAAACATATCTTTCTCACCAATGTTTATTTTCGTAAACCTATATCAATATGAAGAATGGCCCAGTATTCTGAGATCATGTTAATTTTTGGTTGATGAAAATGTACTTTATATCATGATGGTAAAAGATTTCTTTTCTTTTGTTTTCTATAATGACTTGGAAAAAATCTTTTGTTGTTTTTTTTTTTTTTTTCTTTTGAGACAGAGTCTCACCATGTAGTCTAGGCTGGTCTTGAACTCACTATGTAGCCCAGGCTCAAACTCAAGGTCATCTTCCTAAATCAGCCCCTCAGCCCCAACCAAGGGCTAGAATTACAGGTGTACACCCCCATACCCAGCTCTTTTTTTTTTTTTTTTTCCTAATCTAGTCTGCTTCGTGAAATCCAAAAGGATGAGAATAATACGTTCTACCATTTTTTTAGGTATCATTTTTATGTGAATTGTTGTTGATTATAGAAGATTGCTCTTTCTTAATCAGCAAACAAAGTATTGACAACAATCCCCAATTTCAATGTTTTGCCTCCTAGGAATCTTGGTCTGTCTTTCTTCTTTCCTTCTTTTTTTCTCTTTCTTTCTTTCTTTCTTTCTTTTTTTCTTTCTTTCATGTGTCTGTGTGGTGCTAAGGACAAAACCCATGGCCCCACACATTCTGCACATGTGCTGTACCACTTAGCTACACCCCCAGCCCTCAGAAGTCAAACCCAGGAAGGAGGAAGCATAGTGATGATTTGTGCAGGAACAAATCATCAGTGTGAAAAAGTGCACAGAAATCCTAAAGGAAAAACATCAGAGATTCTTGTAAAGATAAGACATGAATGCTTTGCTCTTTGGAAGTGGAGGAAAAGAAAAACCACCAACATGTGGAAAAGTTACATATTAATCAAGCATCGGGGGATAGAAAAGTTTGTTTTATTTAAGAAAAACACTTCCATATAAACAAAATATTTTTTTCACAAAGAATTACATTATTTTTCTAAATGTTTAAAAATGTGAGAATGTGCAAAGTACAAGGTAGTTATCACTCTTCCTGAACACTGAAGTCCACCACCCCCACCACCCCGCTCTAATTTGTTCCTATTTCTTGGCATGGTATGGTGGCACACATCTGTGATCGTGGCACTGGGGAGGCCAATGTAGAAGGATTGCAAGTTTGAACCCAACCTGGGCAATTTATCAAGACCTTGTCTCAAGATCTGAAAAGAGGGACTAAGAATATGACTCAGTGCAAAAGTCCTGGGTTCAGTAGTTCCTCAATAATAACAGCAACAGCAGCAATAAGAGTAATCTATTTTGTTACCCTCCCATAATTCAGCTCTCCAGTCTCCTACTCAGCACTCAGGCTATTCCCAATCATTTATATTAAATTTAGGTTGCAGTTAACGTCCCTGCCCTTTTGTCTGCTAGCGTGTGTTCAATAGTATCATGAGTAGTGAAAGTTTATGTCCCTGGAGACTCTAGCTAGTACTGTTCGTTTAGTGTAGGTCTTTGCCAGCTGTTATCTGATTTATTTTGGGTCTAAAAACGGCAAAAGAGAAAACCCTCTGCTCCCTCCTGATACTGGAGGGAGCATCTTTACCAGCAGGTTCCTGGGATTCCAGAGGGGCCTACTACTTGTGCAGGAGCCTCAGCACCTACTTAGAGCCTTATCTCAAGAGTGTCCATAATGGCTTGGCATCACAGTGTACTTTCCCTTAACTACTTGCATATTTGAGCCTCTTATCAAGGTTTTAATTATTCACTTAATTCATCCTCCCAACAGGATAATGAGGTCATTTTAGTCTTTGTTATTATTCCAATTAAGTAATTGTTGTTACTCCATTTAAATTAATGATAAAGTAAAACCACACACCAGAGACCTAGTGAACTGACAGAGGTCACTGGGTGTAACAGCTCTGGGCAGGGTGAATGAATGGAGCTGTCACACAGCCCTGTGAAATCAGTTACCTCTTGAAGGGGTTTCTAGACTCCCATTAGGAGAAAACAGAATTGGTTGTTTTCATTCCAAGAGTCGCTACCAGCTACCCTCTGGGTTGCCTGTGATAGCTAAAGAATAAAACAAAATGTGATTTGGTTCTCTTTGGATGTTTGGTCATCAAAGAGCCTCTGGAAGTGCAGGGGACCCTCTTGAGATAAAGTTGCCCTCTCCTCCTGTCCCCCAGTGTGTCTATGTTGCTGGAGCCTGGAGCCCCTCAGCCGTAACACTGAGGTGTGCGATCATGGAGTAGTTAACACATAGTGAGAAGGAATTCCCTTCAGGGGTCTGGTGTTACGAGAATCTGCATCACTGCTATTTTTTAATGCAATTACCAATATCCAAATGCCCACAATGCAGAGAGGGTCAGTAAATTATGATGTTCTGACAGTAAACAATGAATCACTTTAACAAAAACAACTACATGAAAAATTGCACTGCATTACATTTCACAGGTTTTCCAGGAGATGGTGAAGCTTATTCAAATCATCTTGGGAAATTTTTCCAGCTATGCAATGACTCCCCTCCAGCTCCAAATCCCCCAACTTGCCCTCATTCCTGGCCCAGATTTTGCTACAGTGCACGATGGGGGAGGTGTGTTGCTAAGACCCTCTTTCCACCCATCTGTCCCCTTGTAAATCACCTCTTCAGTTAGTCATTGTTATCAGGAATGTTGTCATGTATCCGGCTCTCGGACTCTTGGGTGACAAGATGCACTATATCTGAGAAAAAAGATAATCAACAGAAGTAGTCAAATATAGTTAAACTGATACAATGCCATGGGAAGAAGTTCAGTTTATCATATTGGGTTTTATTTTTAAGTTACTGTGGTTTCTTCCTTGCTTGCTTTATTCCCTACTTTTTGACCAGCTATGTGCTGCCGCTGTTCCAGCTCTGGGAGAACAATAGCGCACGAGACTAATGAACACTAAAATTCCCAGCGCTCTCTCACTGTGTTCATTCATCTGCCGAATGGCTGCTGGATTCCCATCGTGTGTCTGGCCCCCATGCTACACACATGCCAGGGATGCAGCAGTGGCCAAAGACAAGAACACAGTCCTGCTGTTGTTACAGCCCAGTAGGAGGAGGCTGACGCCAAAGAAATAACGGTAGTTTCTCAAAAGGTTGTCACTCACGTATGTGAAGTTGGCCATCTCTCCAAGGGTCTCTAGCCTCCAATTTGGGAAGAACAGAATGGGTGGTATTCTGGGGGGTGAAGGATACATTAGGGAAGAATAATCAAGAATGTTGGTGAAAAGGGGCTATCATTTGAATAGAAAGGACCGAGGTGACTTCTCAGGAAATTGGCACTGAGGAAAGACAGGAGGAGATGAGACAGGAAGCCGTGCAGGGCTCTGGGAGGTTTACTTCAGGCTGAGAGACCAGCAGGTGAGTGGTCTGTGGAGGAGGATACCTGGTGTGTACCAGCCTGAGGAAGGAGTCATGTGGCTGCAAAGAACCCATAGAAAGGAGATGCGTGGAAAAAGCATGGGCTTAGGCTGAAGGCTGCCGGGACCTATGGCTTGGTCCTTCAGGGAGTCCTCTGATTTTCATATTAGACACCCTCCCAATCTTACTGTTGAGAAGGAATCATGGGGGATGGCATGGGATTAATTAGGAAGCTGTTGCAAGTGCAAGAAGCAAGTGGCATGGACAAGACCATGTCTCCCCCACTCCACAGCCACTGGAGAGGGGGAATGCGGTCTCAGGCAGGTCTATCGTGAGAATTCAAGAGAGTAGGGACACAAAATGACTGCAAAACCTTATACAAATAAAGAACACACACATACACACTCACACACACGCACACACTAGTTGTAAGTTTTATGCAAAAGAAAAAGACTGTCCAGTTTTGCTCTCAAAAAGTTTCTTCAAGGCCAGGTGTGCTGGCTCACTCCTATAATCTCAGCACTCTTGGAGGCTGAGGCAGGAAGATTGTAAATTCGAGTCCGGCCTGGACAATTTAGAAACTTAGCAAGAACCTGTCTCAAAATAAAAATAAATAAGTAAAAAGAGCTGGGGGTGTAGCTGGCACGAAAGCATTAGGTTTAATCCCTAGAACGACAAAATAACATAGCATAAACCCTGTGGTAGGCACGAATTAAAAAGTGTGTTGTCTCCTTTACTCCTAACCTGAACCCTGAGATCCTACAGATGTGAGGGGTACAGCCTCTGGTTTATGTCCTCACCATGTAGGGAGCAGCTTGGAAACCATCTG